CCCTTCGGGACGAAGGCGGCGCGAACAAAGTTGAAGGACGGGGGCATCGGCTTCCCCTCGAGAAGCCACCAGAGACTGCGGTCAAGCAGCTGGACCCCCCTGGGGTGGTTTTGCCACGCAGCATATGGAAGTCCATCTAATCCTGGGGCGCTGTGGGATTGGTTGCGAAGATAGCGTTGAAGATCATGAAGGGTCGGGGGCCTCAGGTCCTGGAGTTGGGCATTCGGGGGGAACATGTCCAGAAGGGTGTTCGCAGCACCTTGGTCAATTTCTCGCGCGGCAAAAACCTTTCCCCAATGGTCAGCAAGCTCCCAACATTTCATCCGGATCTCGACAGACCCCATGCCCATGTCGAAAACCCTGAAGACACAGTCTGCGGCCCAGAGGGGACCAAAGCCTACTCCTGCGCACAATTCCTTTAAGTCTCCGTCGATGTTTGGTTCGGTCACGATCGTTCGTAGCGTTGGCAATATGCTGGTTCGTCTCGTTCTGTCGTCTCGTTGCGATGGTCGCATGGATTGCGTTGGAGACTCTTAGAAATTCGCCAGGGTCTAAGAGAACGACTCGACGGGCGAGCACATCCACTTCCAAAAAGCGAGCTCCCAGCGGGTGCGAGGCACGCACGCGCTCCGCCAACCGTAAGTCCTGCCTCCAAATCGCTCTCGCCACCGATTTCACCACTAGAAATTGGGCCGACGGCGATCCCGGGACCTTCGCGATGGCATTATCTCGAGCATAGCGGGCAGCTTCGCGCATGAGCTTGGCGCGGCATTCCTGCCCCATCGGCGGGGACATGTGTGAGGAGGGGCCCGCGGCCATAGCTTTTTCCAGAAACGTCGTGAATTGCTTTGACTCGAAAACCTCCTTGGGGATGGATCTCTCATTCGGCGGGACCTTCGCGGCGGCGGCAAGAGAGAAGAGGATCGGGGCGTGGTCGGAGAGGCCCTTCTGGTCCAAGGCCTCGGGGTGGTCTGTCACCTCCCCCTCGACGCAGAGTTGTGTGCAGAGCCAGCCTGGACAAGAAATGAAGCCGCGATCGATTTTCGCGAGCCTCCTAGCGGGCTTGTAAAAGTGGGTGGGCCCAGGGATGTCCATTTCAACCACCTTGCTAAGGATCACGGGCAAGTCACCACCCCTCCCCCGAGCCGGCGACGATGAACTTTCGTTTCTCCAGTCTTGGATGTTCTGCAGGGAGATGGGGGTCGGGACGTCTCCAGAAAATATCGGCGGCTCTGCACTAAAATTGAAATCCCCCAGCACCACCACGAGGGACTGCAGCGGCAACCGAGCGGCTGCGTCTAAGTAAGTGCGGATCTCGTCCGCGATGCGCGACTTGGACTCACCAGGGGCCCCAAAGCTGTGGATGTTGAAGATCGCGACCCAGACATCCCAAGATAACTCCAGTTTAGTCAGGATAGCCCCTCCCTCCACCAGAGTTTGTCGCATGATGTTTGGTCTCGTCTCCAGATGCCCAAAATCCGAAGAAGAAGAAGAAAAAAAAAAAAAAAAAAAAAAAAAAAAAAAAAAAAAAAAAAAAAAAAAAAAAAAAAAAAAAAAAAAAAAAAAAAAAAAAAAAAAAAAAAAAAAAAAAAAAAAAAAAAAAAAAAAAAAAAAAAAAAAAACGTAGTAACGCCTCCTTTCGCGCGCGGGGAGTTCATGTAAGAGGAGTGGGTGGAGAAGCCAGAGATACGGGAATGAAACATGAAATCTTGTAGATGATGAACTGAACCATGTACTTCCTGAAGTGCGAGAACGGACCCAGGTTTAAGGAACGATCGGAGAAGGGAAGCCTTCTTGGAGACCAGCTCGGGTTTGCGGTGGAAAAGGGCCCTGGTGTTCCAGCTCAGGAAACGAAGCGGGAGACTGGACCCGCGAGTATCGCGCCAGACCTCGAAGATGTTAGGAGCTCCACTCCACCTGCTCAGTGGCCTGGAACTCGGGCTTGATGGCCTCAACGATCTGCGCCTTGTCGAAGCCGAAGTGCTGGAGGTTCGCTGTTGAGAACTCGACGGAGGGGGCACCGTCGCCATGAATTGGAGTGACCCTGACGAGTGCCTTCCACTGGCAGCTGACCTCGCCCTTCTGCTTGTCCGTAAAGAACTTGTGGTCTCCGCACAAACGCTCGAGAACTCGTCGGACCTGCTTGCATGCCAGTTCACGTTTGATCTGGCAAGCATTCTTGTCACCCGACACGAAGATTTCGACCTGTTGATCAGCGACGTCCTTGGCGGAGAAACGCTGCCACGTGCCGTCGGCCTTCTTGAGGGCACCGAGAGCCTGAGAGACATTCCGCGTGGCGTAGGCCTTTGAGCCAGAGATGCGGAACGTGTAGCGCTTGGAGGTCGGGTCGCCCTCGATGGTGTACTCGGAGCTGTCCAAGTTGACCCGCTCAAACCAGTCACGCATGGCGGCTTCCATGGAGTGTTTGGCGACCAAGGATTTGGCTCTCGCGATGATGATGGTAGTGCCCACAGCCCTGCCAAAGGCAGGATCAGCAGGA